AGCCAATGTCCAGAATGGTTCGGAGTGCAATTCATCTGCTGATGGGAACTTAGACTGTTTCCAAATCTTAGCTATTGTAATTGTGCTACTATGAGCATAGGGGTGCATATATCCTTTCTGGTTGGTATTTCTGATTTCTTGGAATATAGTCCCAGAAGTGGGATTACTGAGTCAAATGGCAATTCCATTTTTAATTTTTTGAGGGAACTCAATACTGTTTTACACAGTGGCTGCACCAGTCTGCAATCCCATCAGCAGTGCATGAGGGTTCCTTTTTCTCCACATCCCTGCAACCACTTGTCATTTGTTAATTTGTTGATGATAACCATTCTGCCAGGTGTGAGTTGGTACCTCATTGTTTTGATTTGCATCTCTCAGATGATTAGTGACATTGAGCATGTTTTCATATGTCTCTCGGCCTTTTGTATGTCCTCTTTGGTCCTTTTTAGGTCTTTTGCCTTTTTTTTAATTTATTTTTTATTGGATTGTTTATCTTCCTTTTGTTAAGTTGTATGAGTTCCCTGTAAGTTTTAGAGATTAAAACCTCTTCAGAGATAACATTGGCAAATGTGTTTTCCCATGGAGTGGTCCTGTTGTTTTGTTGATGGTTTTTTTCATTGTGCAGAAGCTTTTTATTTTGATGTAGTTCCATTAGTTTATTTTATCCTTAGTTTCGATTGCCCTAGCAGCTGTATCAGTAAAGATATTGCTATATATATGTCTGCTATTTTGCTGTCTATGTCTTCTAAGGTTTTTATGGTTTCCCCTCTTATGTTTAAGTCCTTCATCCATTTTGAGTTTATTTTTATGTATGGTGTAAGATGGTGGTCTAGTTTCATTTTTTTGTATCTGTCCAATTTTCCCAATATCACTTATTGAAGAGACTGACTTGACTCCATTGTATGCTCTTGCCTCCTTTGTCAAATATTAATTGAGCATAGTGGCTTGGGTCTGTTTCTGGGTTCTCTGTTCAATTCCATTCTTGTGTCAGTACTAGGCAGTTTTGGTTATAATGGCTTTGTAATATAGCTTGATATCTGTTATTGTGATCCTTCCAACTTTCTTCTTCTGTCTAAAGATTGCTGCGGCTATCTGGGGTCTTTTTTTATTCCATATGAATTTTTGGAGAGTTTGTTCTAGGTCCATGAAATAATTTGTTGGTATTTTAATGGGGATTGCTGTTGGTACACTGGGTGGAATTGACCTCCAGGCCAATTGGCTATGAGGACCCGGTGTGGAAGACCTGCTGCACTGGAGACACACTTATGGTGCAGGACTTGTTTCAGTGGGGCTGCCTTTTGAATGTGCCACTTATGGATGTGAGGAGTTGAAATCTGGTGTCTCACACTGACCACTAGGTACACTGGCTTCTGGATCTCCAATGGGGTGCAGGTCAGTTACTGTCTGGAGCTATAGCGAGAACTACAGTTTTCTCCTCTTTGCTTGGAGTTTGTAGGCTTTGGAGCTCTCTGAACCAGGTTGCAAGTTTGCTAAGTTAAGCTGCAATAGGGAAGGCCATTCATATGCAAAAGCCGCTGCTTGGAGCTTGGGTGGGTTTGTAGGTTGTGTGGGGTGGGGAGTCTCATGACATCACCAGGCTAGGGTGTGGCAAACAGCGATGGCTGGCAGCCAGCCATCCCCGCGTCTTGAACTTCGTCCCGTGTCCTGCGCCCCAGCGGAGCAAGCAAGTATTCCTGCACGAAGCTCTGCTAGCAAGCCACCCTCACTTTCTGACCAGCTTCTTCCCATAGGAGTTTGGGTCCCCCATGTCTCCCCAGAAACTGGATTTCAAAGAAATCGGGAGCTTGTCTCCCTTCGGGTTGAAGAAAGCAATCCCCACTGCCAGCCTGGATTGCACGGGCCTCAGTACCTCAGCTTTTCTTTTTTTTCTTCTTTTTTCTTTTCTTTAAAAAAAATATATATTTTATTGATTTTTTTTACAGAGAGAAAGAGAGAGGGATAGAGAGTTAGACATCGATGAGAGAAATGTCAATCAGCTGCCTCCTGCACACTCCCCACTGGGGATATGCCCGCAACCAAGGTACATGCCCTTGACCGCAATCAAACCCAAGACCCTTCAGCCCACAGGCCGACGCCCTGTTCACTGAGCCAAACCGATTTCAGTGGTACCTCAGCTTTTCAGTGCTTGTGCACTGAATGCTCTTTTCTCTTTCCTTCTAGTTGTAGAACTTCCACTCAGCCAGCTTTCTTGTGGTTCTGGGTGATAGATGTTTTGTTTTTTAGTTGTAGTTTTGAAATTGTTGTGCAAGGCAGCAGTTTAGGTGTTTACCCATGTCACCATCTTGGATCTTCCAAGGTATTTTTATTGTTGTAACAATATTTGAATTTCTACTAGTATTAGTTCCTTGATCTTTTACTATGAAACTAGACTTATTCTTCTTTAACATAATTTGGAGCTCACTAATTGAATTTGCCTAATTGTGCTTTGTGTGTGTTGAAGTGACTAGTTGATTAGGAAGCTGATTTGTATAGATGTTGGCTTCTGTTCATGAGAAGCTCATATTCCTTGTATTAGCACTAGTTATCTATATCTAGCTATATCTACACTAAAAGAGTAACATGCGAATTGACTATAACATTCTAATTGACTGTATCTTCTTGATACCCACCAGCCAATCAGGAATGAGTCTGCAAATTAACCCAACAAAGATGGTGGGTTAGTTTGCATATGCAGGTGCCCAGCGGCTGGGGCAGGCAGGATGCAAGCTTTCCACGCCACCCCAGCTGCTCTGGACCTCTGGGCAGCATGAGAATGTGGAAAGGAGGCTCCAGGCCAGAGCAGAAAGGTGGCTTTAGACAGAGCGAAGGTGGTACCAACAGCCAGAGGAAGGAAGGCCATTGTTGCTCAAATCTTCATGCATCGGGCCTCTAGTGTGTGTGTGTGTGTGTGTGTGTGTGTGTGTGTGTGTGTATATATTAAAGCCTAAACAACCGTCACAACTCAAACAACTGAACAAATAACCAAACAGGCTGCATGGGGTGACCAGGCTGGCAAGGGATTTAGTGAAGGCCAACATTCACCTAAGGGTCCCATATTGAAGAGGGTGTAAACCCAGGCTGAGGGACATGCCTTCTCCCCTTACCCCCTCTCCCCCCCCCCAGGGTACAACTTTGTGCACGGGGCCAATAGTTAATTGATATTTGTAGAACTGAATTTATAAGATGATTAACAACAGATAAAGTCAATAGCTATGAACAGTGAAAAACTAACAGGATAACAAGGAAATTAACTTAGTCATTTTGAATTAAAGTAGTGTTTTAACCATCTATGCTGACTGCAAACATTTGTATTCCATGGTCACTTATGTTCTATTATAAGTGCCTCCCATTCATTTCTTCTTACAGGCTCATCTACATACTTAACACTTCTATTTTTTTACTCTCTGTAATCTACTTAACTACTTGCCTTCATTCATCATTGTAGTTTAGCACAGCTTTGGTCTTAAACTTAATATCTAATTTTGTTAACACAATCTAGCTTTGTTTTATATCTATACTTTCCAGGCTTTATCTCCTTGATCTTGTTCATAGGCTTATCCACTTTAATCTTCTGTTGTTCTTTTACACTCTTCAATTTACATTTCATTACACTTGGCTCTTTTCCTTTAGAGAATTTATTCATTCTTGTTTCCTAAAGGCATATACCCTTTGGTTGCTGTCTCCAAATACAGTTTATATTTACAATGTCTTAGAATCAGTCTAATGTTGGGGGTTGAATTGCTGGTCATGAGGATTGAGCTTGAATTAGCTGTCAGACTAGTACTCCTCTATCTTTATAATGGGAAAATACCCGCAGTGGCAGTGCTAGCTCTTACTAGCCCTTTTGTTAAAGGAGTTGATATGGATTACAGAATATGTCAGATGTTAATGGGCATTTTTATAAGTGAACTTTTGGGGAGATGAAAACTGGGTTATAGAATTTGTCAAAGAATTTCAAAGTGGGCATAAATGAATGAGTAGAAATGATCTCCCTCCCTCAGATTCAGTAATCTTGAATTAATTATTGCGTGCAACAGATGCATAGTTGGTTTGGACTAGATAAAAGAACAAAGGGCAATAAGACAAAGAGTAAAACAACTGAAAAGAAACAGGGAAAGTAAAAGATACAAGGTAAAATTGTCTAATTTGCCTATCTTTGTGCCACTTGGAGTCAGTAGATGAAGGGTTGTTGGGAACATTATGGCAAAGAAAGTGGACTTGAGAAGATAATGTGAGAATGTAGCACAGGAAATTTCTGTTGAATTTAATTTAAAACTATGTTGTTTTTAGCTCTATTTTTACAGTGCATCCCAATTGCTAAGAGCTTACCATAATACCAAATTTTTAAATCAGATATTACCGTATTTTTTGGACATAAGACGCACTTTTTTCCCCCCAGAAGTGGGGGGGAAAAGTCCCTGCGTCTTATGGTCCAAATATAGCCTACACATATACTTTAAAAAAAAAGTTTTTTTTTACTTGCCCAGCTCTGTGTGGTCTCTGTGTGCTTGCCAGGCTCTAAAATGGTTCTAAATGCTGCTGTTTACTTTACAGGGTTGATTACATGTGTTTATGACTGTGATGTTGGGTTTTAATGCACATAAAATATTTTAGGACACTATTTGTTTCAGAATCTTTTTTTCTTCATTTCTCTTCTCTAAAAACTGGTGCGTCTTATGGTCCGGTGCATCTTATGGTCCGAAAAATACGGTATATTTGTATAATAGTAAAGAGTAGCTTATACATTACTTAAGTATATTGATGTTTAATTATATAAACACACTATCCTTTCAAGGATACAAAAGAGGGAAAATCTACACTATCCACTCTGTTGTATCCGACATACTGAATAAATGGAATATCCAGGACGCCTTTCCTAGTATTTATGAAATGTAGAAGCATTTCATCGTAGAGAACAAAATTGCATGCTAACTTAAAAAAATAATTTGGTTAATTTCAATTTTTAGAAAATATTAAGTCATTTATTTTTATCTTTACAGGTATCTTTCAGATGAAGGCATTGAAGCTTGCACAAGTTCTCCTGATAAAGTCAATCTAAATGACATCATCTTGATTGCTCTCAATGTAGGTTTTCTCTATTAACTTTTTTTAATATTCAGGGAAAATATTGCATAGAATAAAATGGATTTTATAAGCGATATGGAGTAATAAATACATCTTTTACTTTTATTGTCCATTTTTAGTTACAGTAATGCTTCTTAAATTTGTTAATCTCATATAGGCAAATTATTGGAATTATCTTTCTTTTAATATCTTATATGGAATCCAATAAAAGGAAAAAAAAGCAATTAAAACTTTTTTTTAAACCCAGTGTTTAGTTATAGAATTTCATAACCTTTACATTATCTGTATAATAGCAATAAAAACTGATCTTATTCATTGAAACAAATAACCATTTAATTAACATAGAAACACTGGTTGGGTTGTAGTTTTTTGACAGTTATGTTTATTATTTCAAAATAACTTTTTCTGTTGATAAAAGTAATATATATTGTAGAAGACTTCATAAAACACAAAATAAAATAAAAATATTAAAATTACTTATAATTATCGTTAATATTTTTATATGTGTTTCTTTCCAATCTTTCTCCCTCTACCCATCTGAATAGCTACATCAGTTACTATAATTGCAATTGGTTTTTGGATTTTTTTGGGAAGAGTTATAAAAATTATCTAAATATAGATTTAAGTAAACAACTATTCTTTTTTTCATTCTTGCAGTTACCCCAATGAAAGTTTTCATGTTGCCTTGACAATGACAGTATAATGATCAAATTTACCTATTATACATATCAATTAAATTCATAAGAGAATCACATCACTATCTGTCATAGTCATCAGATTATTGTAAAATAGGTATGGCAAAGCAAAAATGGCAGTAACTGATTTAAAATATAAATAAATATGTATGACTGAATATAGTAAATCTTTTCAAATCACCTAAATTTATATTTCTATAGTGAAACTTGGGTTTAAGCAGATAAAAATTGTTTTGAAATCTCATTTTATCAGCTTCTTTGAATTTTACCAGTAAGACTTATGAGATCTTTTTATTGTTTCTGAGCTAAGGAAGTTTTTAATAAACAAGACTAGGAGCCCTGGCCAGTTTCTCAGTGGTTAGAGCATTGGGCCACAGACCTGGCAAGAGCAAAGACAGCTAATAGATGTGTCTCATGTTGCTGTTTCTCTCTCTCCCCCTTTTGCTTCCTCACTTCCACTCTCTTTAAAAAAATCAATGGAAAATATCCTTGGGTGAGGATTTAAAAAAAAAATTTTTTAAGTAAGCATTATTTTAGAAGTGTATAGGCTGTCCATGACTAACAAATGGAAATATTCCCTAGACATTTTAACTTTCTTTGACTTGTTTCCAAATTAGTGAATTAAACTTTTAAAAAAACATAGGGAACTCTATTTTTTGTTTATTTAAGAAAAAATCCTAAAGATGACAGAAAAGAGATTTTGTGATAATCTTCTGCTCTTCTGTATTATTCTTATTTATATACTTAGGTAAATAGCAATGAACTATTCATAATTTGGTGTGAAACTTTAAATGAAATAGGTCAAGATGGTATTAGTTCTGTGCACATTAGAAGTCCACAATGACCATTATTTTATTTTATTTTAAAATATATTTTATTGACTTTTTACAGAGAGGAAGAGAGAGGTAAAGAGACTTAGAAACATGGATGAGAGAGAATCATCGATCAGCTGCCTCTTGCACAACCCCTACTGGGAATATGCCTGCAACCAAGGTACATGCCCTTGACCAGAATCGAACCTGGAACCTTTCAGTCCGCAGGCCGACGCTCTGTCCACTGAGCCAAACCGGTTTTGGCTGACCATTATTTTAATGAATTTATTGTCTTTGTAATTTTCTCTGAAATTCTAGTATGTAGTCAAATACTACTACTTAAGTTATCATACCAAATAACAGGGAAAAAAACACCTTTTTAAGAAAATACATTTTTATTGATTTCAGAGAGGAAGAGTCAGAGAAACGTTAATGATTAGAGAGAATAATTGATTGGCTGCCTCCTGCATGCCCCCTACTGGGAATCGAGCCCATATCTTGTGCATGTGCCCTTGACCAGAATCAAACCCTGGACCCTTCAGTCCACAGGTCAACACTCTGTCCACTGAGCCAAACCATCTAGGGCAAGGAAAAAAAACCTTTTAATCAAAATCAAGTCTACCCCAAATAATGTACTTCTCAAGTTTATTTTTTAAAATAAAATCAGGCATTTACAGTAGTTCTTTTGAATTATTTTAAACTTTTTAAAAAAACGTACCGTATTTTATTGATTTTTTTACAGAGGAGGAGAGAAGGATAGAGAGTTAGAAACATCGATGAGAGAGAATCATCTATCAGCTGCCTCTTGTACACCCCCTACTGGGGATTTGCCCGCAACCAAGGTACATGCCCTTGACTGGAATCAAACCTGGGACATTTCAGTCTGCAGGCCGATGCTCTATCCACTGAGCCAAACCGGTTTCGGCTTTTTTTTTTTTTTTTTTTTTTTTTTCCAACTTTTGATTACTCATTGAGAAATAACTTATTACATATGGTGATAATAATCCATGAACAATTTTATTTTGTTCTCTTCCTCTTGTGGGGCGCACATTGAGCTATTTTTTTTTAATGTAGAAAAAAATTGATTTTAGAGAGAGAGAGGAAGACAGGGGGAGAGGGAGAAACATCAATTTGTTGTTCCACTTATTTATTCATTCATTGGTTACTTCTTGTATGTGCTCTGACAGGATCAAGCTCACAAACTTGGAGTATTTGGACGATGCTATAACCAGCTTCTGAGCTGGTTCCTTTAACCAGCAATGAACAATGCAATAAGATGTATAGTACAGTGTTTTTACCCAGAGAAATCCATTAGAGACTAGTCCCCAAGGCTTTTACTAGACTTCTCATGAAGGTATTCTCTGCCTAACATGAAACAATTTCTAGACTCTACCCCCATACAATTTCCCCCAAAAAGCAGGTATTCACCATAAATCATTTTGTTTATACAAATAGTCTAAGACGGCGGTCGGCAAACTTTGCGGCTCGAGAACCACATGTGGCTTGAAAACAGTGGTTTGTCGCTCTCTTGACTAATGAGTTTGCCGACCACTGGTCTAGGAAACCTGGTGAAACGGGAGCCTCAGGACTGCTAAGTACTATTTTTTCTGTGCAGAGTTTTATGTTGAAAGAGAAGGTTCTTAATTTTTTACTTTGTGGAATGGGGAATAAGAATATTAAGAAATGATATTGAAATATAACATGTAGTTTTAGTTTTAAATACCTGAATTATTCAGAAAAAAAATTAAGTCTAGCCCAGTCTTAAATTACTGAATACTATGTATTAGTAAACATTTAAAGGCAGACTTTTTTTTTTTCCTTTTAAGATGCTGTATTATATAAAATGGCTTGCCAAATAAGCATTCTGTTTCACTCAATAGTGGGATCTTGTGTGTATGCCACATGAACATGTATTTAAAAGCTAAATACTTGTGCGTAATATTTTTATATAAGTGTATTTTTGGATCTATATGTCCTAGTGATCCTGATATAATAATATCTGAATCATAAAATTGTCTTTGTACTATAAATTGAATTGGAATTTAGGATGTTGAAAGATTTGGTAGGTCATTTTTATTTTGCTAAAAAATGAAATAATATTAATTTTTTGTATGTATAGCACTTTGAAAGTTATATAAACTTAGAATACATTGTCTTTTAGCCTGGCATCCCATTTTATAAAGGAATAAATTAACTGGATTTAGAGAATTTTGTGACTGTATCTAAGATATATTAATTAATTATAGTTTTCAGTGAATTGAAGTTTAGAATTTTAGTTTATTGCTCATTTCTACTTTATATTGATGGCTCATTTAGTTTAGCTTCATAATTATTGACAAATACCAGAAATGAGGAACCATGGTGTTTCATAAAATTTGTATATCATATATTCTTTTTCTCGTGTATATATATATTTAAATATTTCAGCCTTTTGAGTGACTTCAAAATAACACATATGCTTTTATAAACTGTTAGTTGTATTATTGACTTAATATAAATTTTCAGATGATAAAATGTACATTCACTCAAATGTTTTAAATTCACTAAAATAAACATGATAGCTAACATTAATTAAATGCTTATTCTTTGCAAGTTATTGTGTCAAGTGCTTCATGTATATTAAGATTTAATCCTCAAAACAATACTAATATAGGGAAGGAGGTATAAGAAAGTACTTTCCCCCCTATATGTTACTTAGTATATTCAGAGTGAAAGGCTTATAATTCTTTTACTGCTATTGGGTGGAGGCTGCAAAAAGGAGTGGCCTAAAACCTTGTTTCACAAATATTTGGATTTGGGGCTTAGTTTGCTAGGCAGTTCCATTCTGTAAGATTTAGTTTAGGAGTGATCCCTGCATTATATTGAGAAGTAAATTATGAACCATGGTAGTTAAAGACTGGAAAGAGCTGTGGGGATTGTATAACATATACTTCTTTCTTAAGCTAACCACATAAGCATATCCTCCTATATAAAGAGGTAATATGCAAACTGACCATCACTCCAACACACAAAGATGGCTGCCCCCATGTGGTCAAAGATGACCGCCCCCATGTGGACACAAGATGGCCTGCAGGGGAGGACAGTTGTGGGTGGTCAGGCCATCAGAGGAAGGCAGTTGGGAGGGACCAGACCTGCAAAGGAAGGCAGTGGGGGCGACCAGGCGGGCAGGGGAGGCCAGTTGGGGGAATCAGGCCTGTAGGGCAGGGCAGTTGGGGGTGACCAGGCCTGCAGGGGAGGGCAGCTAGGGGCAACCAGGCCTGCAGGGGAGAGCAGTTGGGAGGGACCAGGCCTTCAGTGGAGGGAATTTGGGGGTGATCAGGCCTGCAGGGGAGGACAGTTTGGAGGGACAAGGCCTGCAGAGAAGAGCAGTTGGGAGGGACCAGGCCTTCAGGGGAGGCCTTCCTGAAGTAGACAAAAATTCTTAAAAGTTCTGCTTTTTATGTAGACTGTGTAGTTGAAGTTCTGTTTTTATGTCAGAAATGTGATAACTTTTTATGTTTGCTTTGAGGTTTGCTGAGTAATATGTATTTCTACATTTTCACACAGTTAGCTATTTATTTGCCAATTTCAGTTTTTATAATTTTTAAAGCAAATTAAATACGTCCTTACTATGGAAAGTCTTTCTATAACTCCTTGCTGTTGCAGTGAAATTGTTCCCTGGCATATTTTTAGGTTATATAGCTTTGTTATGTTGTGGGTGCTATAGAATAATGTGTTTTTATGTATCTGCTTATTAAGGTTATATCAAATTTAATTGTCATGAATGTCACTTTTTATGAATTTATTTAGTTTTGTATTGTGGCATTAGTTTTTTAGTATGGGTATAATATAGTTTATATAAAATAAAGTTTTAGAATTCAATAGAGAAAATTTAGTAAGTTAAAAGATTACCTAAAGAAATGTCCCGAGCCCCAGTCGCCTAATGGATAAGGCATTGGCCTCCTAAAGAAATGATCCGAGTTAAGGCTATTTATATATTAATGTTCATCCTACTGGTGCATTTTAAATAGCATATATATGGAACTGTGTTATTTGAAAATATTGATTACATGTATAGAAATCATAATCAGCTAACAGACATTTATTTAAAATTTTCTCCACAAACCTTAATTTCATCTTTTATTTGTGATTGAGATTAGATCTATTTTTTATAATTATATTTTAATAATAATATTTTTATTTTAGACAGACTTGAGAACAATTGGCAAGAAATTCCTCCCTAGTGACATCAACGGTGGAAAGGTAGAAAAGGTAAAACAAAATGTTAACTTCCTACATTATGCTAACTACAATAACTATGAAAATCCACTAATTACTAGAGTTATGTTTTATCAGTAGAAACTACAACTGCAAAATATTTCGGAGGCAAACAGGTCACAGAGTCATCATTACAGTGATTTCCTATGCATATGGAAAATTTTAGGACTTAAACTTTTAACCTTTTGATGTCTTTTAAACATTAAAAATAAACTTTTGTTTTAAGAATTATAACAATGGCACATTTGATATGAGACTTGCTAGATATTATCAGAGTTTAGGAAAAGGACCTTTTAATACCTTTTTATTTTAGTTACCTGTTATGTTTATATAATCAACTTATTAATATAAAAGTATATGAATGTAAGAGACTATTAGGAGTAATTTGGCAAAGCCATGCTTTGGTTATTTCTATCATTTTGCACTTTACATATGTGTAAATGTATATATTTGTGTTATAGTTATTTTAAGTAATCTTTTTAAAATACGAGGATACAGTTTTTAGATACCAACTAATTAGTGTTTTACTTCTTATCCATTCATTTCTATTTAATTTCTTCTTTTTATTTGAAAATGCATGTAAATTGTGTCACTCTTGAATTTTCTGTGTGCTTTTTGGTCATATGCTATTGGTCTATGTGATATAGATCACTTTTTGAACTATTAAGGAACATTATTATCCTTAATTTAAATAAATATTTTCAATGTGTATGTTTTATGTTTGAATATGTATTCTTATTTAAACACTCACATGTTTAAAGTAGTTATTGCACAGAGATACTAAAAATTTTAGGTAATTTGAAAGACTTATTGTATAACAACATATTTGTCACATTTCTAAATACCAGTTCAGTTATGCAATAGATGGTATTTACTTATTTTTTTCTGGGCCAAATTTCTTATTTTTAATTAAATATATTGAAGTAAATATTGGTTAATACGATCATATAAGTTTTAAGTGATCTTATCTATATATATAAAAGGCTAATATGCAGAGTGTCACCTTGGGAGTTCGACTTCATTGTTCTCAGGGTCTTCTCTAGTTTCTTACATTTACTTTTTGGTTGTGTGAGTAGTTCTCAGACTTCATTGTACACCAGGATCACCCAGAAGCTCAGCTAAAATACAGACTGCCAGCCCACTCCTAACCCCACCTCTACCCCACCCCCAGTTTGATTGCTCGCTATGACATGCGCTGACCACCAGGGCAGCATGGGACGAAGGGAGGCTCCAGCCAAAGATGGAAAGCCCTAATTGACCCTGATTGCTGGCTAGGCCTAGGGACCCTGCCCGTGCACGAATTTTGTGCACCAGGCTTGGTTAATAAGATCATATAGATTTCATCTGTATATTGTATTGTGTGCCTGCTACCCTAAGTAAAATCATCTTCTGTTTCCATATATTTGGCCCTTTTAACCCTTTACTATCTCACAGCCCTCTTTCCTCATTGATTGGCTGCCTCCTGCATGCTCCACACTTGGGATCGAGCCTGCAATCCAAGCATGTGCCCTGATCAGGAATTTAATCCTGACCTCGTGGTTCATAGGTTGATGCTTAATCACTGAGCCATTCCAGCTGAGCTGATAATACCATTTTTAGGGGAGAGAAAAACAAAGGAAAAGGTGATGACTGGAGAACATTTACCCAAATATTTAAGAACAAATACTTAAGAAGCGAGAGACAAAAAGAGAATGTCATAGGAGCTACCTCCATTAGTCTATGTGCTCCCTTCCAGAAAGGGCCTCAGCATGTGTCTGCCAACTCCATTGGAAGTTTGTTAGGCCTCAGGGTCAGTGCAGTGTGCTGGATAATCTCCAGGGCCGAGAGTAATTCTCCTTGGAGGAAAATAAAAGGAGTATAGAGAGGAATCTCCAAACATCCTCTCCTGAGTGGCCAAAAATAAATGCTCAAATGGTATGTGTTGTTTTTAATATAATTAATACAACTTAGATAATACAATTTTCAGCATTTAGAAATTTAAGAGGAAAGGAAGAATGGAAAGCTGATAGATCTGTAATGAGGTAAGAAAGATTGTAGGGCCCAAGGCTCAGTGGTTAAGAGTTGTCCTATGACCCTGGAGGTCATGGTTTGATTCCTGGTGAGGGCATGTGCCCAGGTTGCCGGCTCGATCCCCAGTAAAGGGCATGTAGAAGGCAGCTGATCAATGATTCTCTCTCATCATTGATGTTTCTAATTTTCTCTCCCTCTCCTTTGTCTCTCTGAAATCAATAAACACGTATTTTACAAAAGAAAAAAAGATTGTAGGTCTGTGGATAGGGGAAAACAGTTAATCCTAGACACATTTAATTTACATCTCTCCTGTTCCAAGGCAAACCTGAGGCCTTCAGAAGGGCATGTCACCTCGAGTTTGAAATTGGTCTTAATAACTGCTGTTACCACTGACTAATTTGGGAGAAAGGCAACTAAGTAATTGCGGATTTTTAAAATCAAAGGATTTTTTCATGGAACTAAATAACTTTATTCTGTAATGTATTGCCCATTTTGATCAATGACCTTTTGCCATCTTTCAGGCAGCATCATAATCCCACGTTCAAAAAACTTCTGGTTTTTATTAGCAAAAAACTGAATCAGGTACGATTTGACATCATCATTATTGAAATTTTTACCATTCAAGGAGTTTTGTAAAGATCGAAACAAAAAGTAATCAGATGGTGCAAGGTCAGGACTATATGGTGGATGTGGCAAAACATCCCAACCAAGCTCCATTAATTTTTGCCGAGTGACCAAAGATGTGTGTGGCCTTGCATTGTCATGATGGAATACAACACCTTTTCGATTTGTCAATTCGGGCCGCTTTTCTTCAACTGCATTGTTTAATTTCGTTAGTTGTTCAATGTAGACATCAGAATTGATCGTTCGGTTGGGTGGTAAGAGTTCAAAGTAGACAATTCCTTTGTAATCCCACCAAACTGATAACAAAACCTTCTTTTGATGAATATCAGCTTTTGATGTTGTTTGAGTTGGTTCACCTGGCCTGCTCCACGATCTTTTCCGGTTGATATTGTTGTAAACAACCCATTTTTCATCACCAGTTATCAGTCGTTTTAAAAATGGCTCATTTTCATTACGTTTCTTTAGCAAATCGCAGCTGCTAATGCGTTGTGTTAACTGTGATTCTTTCAGTTCATGAGGAACCCATGTATCGAGTTTTTGAACATAGCCAAGTTGTTTTAAGTGATTTTCAATGCATGTATGTGATACATGAAGCTTCTCTGCAATCTCACGTGTTGTACTGTGACAGTCCGAATTGATTATTGCTTTGATTAGGGCGTCATCAACTTCAACTGGACGACCAGAGCGTTTTTCATCTTTGAGTGAAAAATCACCAGAACGAAATTTGGCAAACCAATTTTGACACTGCCGTTCTTTTAAGGCTTCGTCACCATAAACAGCACATAACTTTTTATGAGCTTGTGATGCGTTTTTCCCTTTGCGGAAATAAAAAAGCAAAATATGACTAAAATGTTCCTTTTGATTTTCCATTTTTCAACGAACGCCAAACGAAAACTACAAAACAGATCAAAAAACTTTTTTTACTGATTAACAGCTGAATAGCCAACTATCAAATAACAAAATGTGTTTTACATTTGTACTACGTCTGCAAACCTAAAAATTCAACTGAAGCCATATGTGTATAAAACCCGCAATTACTTAGTTGCCGACCCAATAGCATAGCAAAAAGATCAAGTAACTTTATTATTAATACTAGAGGCCTGGTGCACGAAATTCATGCAGGGGGTGTGTATGTCCCTCAGCCCAGCCTGCACCCACTCCAATCTGGGACCCCTGGAGGGTTGTTCAGCTGTCTGTTTAGGCCCAATAACAGGCCTCTCACAATCCAGGACTGCTGGCTCCCAACTGCTCATCTGCCTGCCTGCCTGATTGCCCCTAACTGATTCTGCCTGCCAGCCTAATCACCCCCTAACCACTCCCCTGCCAACCTGATCACTGCCTAATTGCGCCCTGCCAGCCTGATTGCCCCTAACTGCCCTCCCCTGCTGGCCTGGTTCCCCCAACTGCCTTCTCCTGCAGGCCTGCCTCCTCCCCCCCCCACCCCAACTGCCCTCCCTTGCTGACCTGGTCCCTCCCAATTGCCCTCCCTTGCAGTCCTGGCCCCCTCCCCTCCCCCCCAACTGTCCTCCCCTGCTGGCCTGTTCTCCCCAACTGCTGTCCCCTGCAGGCCTGGTCCCTCCCAACTGCCCTTCCCTGCTGGCCTGATTGCCCATAACTGCCCTCCACTGCCAGCCATTTGTGGCGGCCATCTTGTGTCCACATGGGGTGGCCATCTTTGACCACATGGGAGTAGCCACCTTGTTTGTTGGAGTGATGGTCAATTTGCATATTACCTCTTTATTATATAGGATAGTTTTGCTCAGGTTCTTTTCTCTTTCCTCTTTCCTCTCACTCACTTCTTAATATTATTTTGCAGTTTCTATATGTTCTCCACAACCTTGATGCAAAGTTTTCAGAAAAATTTAAAAAGTGGCCAGAGTGGAAAGATGACACTTTCTCTAGGCTTCCAAGCCAGAGAGATTTCCCCACAGGCAGTGTGTGCTTGGTGTTTAGGCATGAAGATGGTGAGAGTGGAGGGGTGTGTGGTGGGGAAGCATCTTTTCTGAGTTTTTCAGGGGTGGATTTGCATTTCTTAGATACTATAAGGTCCTGGAACAAAGTAACTTGTTAGTTAAGCATCATGGGGAAAAATTATGACACAAAAGAAATAAAACTAGAATTCATTTTAAACTGTTCAATATTTTTCATATTCTTCTCTAGAATTAGTATTTTGGTGTAGTTACTTTTAGAGTTTTAATCTTCGAAGCAAGGTGCAGAAATCAATAATAAAATATAAGTTAATGTAAAAATACTTTGTTACCCATTCTAGCTATGTGACCTTATGGATCACTGAGGAGCCCTAACAGGAAAAGCTTTCAATTTTGTGTTTATTTTACTCATGTAAGTTCTAGGACTGACAG